TCTTTGTCTTTACAAATTATAAAAAGAATGCATACTGTATATATATATATATATATATATATATATATATATACAGCAGATTGTTTTTGGCCTCACAAATGCCTGGCAAAGTTCTTTGTCCAGCACCACAAACACTATTTTTCTGGCATCTGCTATATGCCAAGTATTATTCATGGTGCTCAGAACACAGATGCAAAGAAAGGAAGACACGAGAGATCTTTACCAGAGACTGGGAATCCAGTTTAGTGGTGGGCGAGGATCTGAGTTCAACTCACAGCATCACCACCACAGAAAACAAAAACCTCATCCATTCAGAGAGCTGACATTTTACTTAAACTATGAGGTCTAATAATAAAATGGAATAGGAAGCTATAAACAGTTCTTGAGCTTAAGAAAAACAAAACACCTAACAACAACAACTTTCTGGTACCATTGAGGGTGTCATGTGCTTCTCTCTGAGTTTCACAGTTAGCCTTTCCCAGCTGCTCTCCTCCAAGTCGATGCAGATAGTTCTGCTTTGTTCATCTCTCCTGTTGACCAATATTGAAATTGGTTCCCTGATTTTTGCCCATATAAATAATACTGCTTTTAGAATTTCTGTACATGTCTCTTGTATACACAGAGAAGAATCTTTTCAAGGTATACACAATTGTTGCGCTGGGGACGTGGCTCAGTGGCAGATAATTTTCCTTGTATGTTTGGAACTCTGGGTTCAATCTCTAGTACTAACTACAAATGAGCAGGGCCGTGTGGCACAGGCCTATCATCCTAGTCACTGGGAAGACTGGGACAGGAGGATTGAAAATTCAAGGCTTCAGGGCCGGTCATAGTGGCTCACACCTTTAATCACACCTATAACTTGAGAGGCAGTGGCAGGCAGGTCTCTGAGTCTCTGAGTTCAAGGCCAGCCTGGTCTACAGAGCAAGTTCCAGGACAGCCAGGGTTACACAGAGAAACCCTGTCTATCAAAAAAAACAAAAACAAAAACAAAAGATCCTATGTGCAATCCCCTGGACCATCAAAGAGGAAAAAAAAAAAGAAACAAAAAAACCTTATTTTTATTTTTTTGAAATTTAACTTTTCTAGCAAAGTTCATTTTATTTTTCAGTATTTGTATCTACCAAAGTATAAAACAATCTGAGTTGCTATACCATCCATGTCAATTTTGGTGTTTAGTCAATTTATTGTGCATTAAGTGGGATTTCATGGTGGTTTGAATTTATATTTTCTTGATTATTAATGAGATTGAGCATCTTTTCATGTACTTATTGGCTATTCATGTTCTATCTTCTGTGAAATGATTAGTCATGTATGTCTTTGTCCATTTTCCTATTGGGTTATTTATCATCTCCTCATTGATTTTTAGGAGTTAACCAGATCACAAGGAATTGTGTGTGTGTGTGTGTGTGTGTGTGTGTGTGTGTGTGTGTGTGTGAACATGTGTGTGGAGGCCAGACAACCTTGGATGTCATTCCTTAGTCACAGTCCACCTTTTATTTCTTTAATTTATAAAGATTTTTTAAAAATATTATGTGTCTGAATCTTTGGCCTGAATGTGTGTCTGTGCAGCACGTGAATGCTTAATGCTCACGGAGAGCAGAAGAGGGTGTCTGGTCTTGTGCAACTGGAGTTACAGATGATTGTGAGCTGCCATGTGGGTTCTGGGAACTGAACCCAGGTCCTCAGGAGCAATAAGTGCTCTTAACCACGAACCAATTCTCTAGCTCCTCTTTCTTTCTTTAAGACAAGGTCTCTCATTGGTCTGGAACCCACAGAGTAGGCAGGCTGGAGAGTCAGCCAGTCCCAGGGATCTGCTGGTCTCTAACACCCTAACACTAGGATTAAAGCTTTACTGTGGCTAGTTTTTTTTTGTTTGTTAGTTTTTGAGGGAGAGTGGATCCAGTTTAGGTCTCCTGTCTGTAAAGCAAGCACTCTACCACCTTCACGAGCTCCCAGGCCTTTGTGTTATTTCTGAGACAGGATCCTTCTATGTAGCCCAGGCTTCTCCTCCACTAGGAGCCCAGCCTGTCCTCAAAGCCAGTTTTTCTGCCTCAGCTTTCTAAGTACTGAGGTTTCAGGTATGAGCCACGCCTATATCTGAGTTAGGAGTTAACTAGACCATGAAGGATCTTGGAAGGTCTATCTATCACCTATCCTCTGTCTGTCTATCTGTCTGTCTATCATCTAACTCTTAGGACTCATCCTTTGTCTGCTTCTAGTTTGTAGAGAAGTTGGGCTCTTAGTAGGGTCTAAGGATGGAAAATTTCAACTCCAGGGCTCACATCGCATCCTTTTAGTTGGATTAATTCTAGTTTATTCATTACGTATTGTCTACGTATTGTCTAGCCTGACATTAAGTATACAACACATCCTATGCGTGACTACACCTTGTTACTTCCACAGTGTAAGCTGGTTCAAACCGCTGACATCTCTTGCTGGACTGCTTCAATAGCAGCCTCATATATGGTTGCCTGGATTCCAGCACAGCCTCCTCGATGAGGAGGATCTATTCATTCCAAATGAAGCTTAGATCTTGCAACTTAAAGCCACTTAATGAGACTGAGGATGTAGGTCAGTGGTAGAGCACTTGTTTAACACACTGAGGCCCTGGATTCAATCTCTAGCAACACACATACACGCACACAATAATAAATAAAAATAATAAAAGTTTTCTGCCAAACAAACAAACACACAAACAAACCAGGGTCCAGCTGCAGTGCTCCTACTGATCCTCAGACACACAGAACTGAGGGGTCTGGAACATTCTTCCCTGAGTTCGAGCTTCAGCTGCTCTCTTTTCAAGGCTCTCCTCTGCAGAGTTTCCCTGTCTAAACAGCTACCATTTTTTCCTCTCTATCCCCTTATCAGCTCCTTTGTTTTTCTTTTTAACATTTATTTAAATTTCATAAATTTTCTTATTTGTTTGTTTGTTTGTTTTGTTTGTTTGTTTCACTGAGGCAGAGTCTCACTCTGCAGCCCAGGCTGACCTTGAACTCGTGGATGGTTCTCTTGCCTCAGCCTTCTAAGTGCTGGTATAAGTGCAAGTCATCATCCATTGCTTGTAAGTTTATTTATTGTAGTGCTGGAGACTGAACCCTGGGACCCTGTTCATGCTCTACCACTGAACAATACCATCAGCCTTTATTTTAACTAGTTTTTAAAATGTTATGACCAGGCATGGAACACAGGTTTTTAATCGGAACACAGGTTTTTAATCTCAGCACTCAGGAGGTAGAGGCAGGCATATCTGTGAGTTTGAGGCTAGCCTGGTCTACAGAGTAGTTCAGGACATCCAGAGCTATGTAGATAGACTCTGTCTCAAAATAAATAAATAAATAAAAATTTATGAATGTATGTATATAACTGTTTGTGTATGTATCTCTCAAGAGAGTGCAGGTGCTCACAGAGGCCAGAAGTGGGTGTCAGTTCCCCTGCAACTAGAATTAACAGGCAGCTCTAAGCTGCCCCATATGGATTTTGGTAACTGAACCCAGATTTTCTACAAGAGCAACAAGTATTCATAATCTCTAACCCAGCAGTTCTCAAACTGTAGGTCATGACCCATTTGGGAGGCGGGAGTTGAACGGCCCTTCACAGGGCTCACCTAAAAATAAAACTACCAGAAAACACAGATATTTACATTACAATTTATAACAGTAGCAAAATTACAGTATAAAGTAGCAACAAAAATAATTTTATAGTTGGGGGTCACCAAAGCATGAGGAACTGTGTTAAAGGGTCACAGCATTAGGAAGGTTGAGAACCACTATTCTAAGCCATCTCTCCAGGTCCTTTGTGTTATTTACTTAGGGGTGTGTGTGTGTGTGTGTGTGTGTGTGTGTGTGTGTGTGTGTATGTGTGTGTGTGTGTATGTGTGTGTGTGTGTGTTTGTAGGTCAGAAGTCAATGCTATGTATTTCT